CTTGATACTTTCCATCTCTCAAGATCCCTGAAATTCAAAATCTCTAAAATAATAGAGGAAGATAATTTTCCATCTTCAGGAAGGCCACTTCAAACTGGAAGGAAGCAATGACACTTCTGCAAACGAGAAGAAGATTGAAAAACAAACACATACTGTCTCATGTGAAAAAACACTATGTACTGATCACCAGCTTGACATATGCTCAAAGCGTAATGAGGAATCTCATAAATAATGTAACCAATGTCAGTGCATAAATAAACATATTCAATGATGTTTCTATAATTTTCATTTATTTCTATTATTTATAACTATGAACACATGTGGGGTCATTTTGCACTCCATCTGAGGTTAATTATTGAAAACTTAACACTGGTATTCTAGAGTTAAAATACAACAGTTTATAACCACATTTATCACATGTTCAAATGTCAGTGCCCTGTGCTTCACTGGGCAACCATTTGACAACAAGCCATCACAATTAACAGTTGCCACAATGGCTCTGAAAATGGGAGTTGTAATGGTTATAATGCACTAAGTAATTTTTATTTATTAAATAATGCACCAATGAACATAGAATAATAACATGCAAAAAGAAGACAATGTACCATAACTATCACAATTTTTCTGGCTTACTAACTATGCAAAAAGAGCCATTACAAATTCATCCAAGTTAATGGATGAATTTTCTGTAGGAATGAGGCTTGTACTAAAAGAGAAATTGATAATATAATATGTTATTTGATAAATATACACCTTGGATTTCTATTGGTTATAAATAATATAGTATTAAATGTAAGAGATTAACAAATCCTGAAAGAGAGGATGTGACAAGTGGGTGTGACAAGAGATGTTTGATTTTCTATTTGATAGCTCTGTAACCAAATACAATTGAAGGATATAAAAATCATGGTTTGACTGAGCAATGACAATTTTATATTGAGTAATTTATGTTTAATTTCATCCTTATTGGAGGGGTGGTTGATAAAATAGAGAAGAGGAGATGCCTAGAGAAAATGTGTCACACTAGGCAAAATTCAGGATTTTTTAAATATTGCCTTATAAAATTAAGAACTTAAAACTTATATGTTATCAAAATAAAGATTATTAGCTACAATTTTATGCTGTACTAATTGGTATAACATAAACAAAAAGTAGCTTAAAATTTTGAATGCAAGTCATTAAAACCTCGTGACATTTGCAGTAAAGAATGCCCGTGGCAATAAGGTTAAAGATGTTTCAAATAGAATAACATAAACAGAAAGTAACTGAATAAAATTTTGATTGTAAGTCATTAAAACCTAGTGACATTTGCAGTAAAGAATGCCCGTGGCGATAAGGTTAAAGGTGTTTCAAATAGAATACAGAACGAATTAATTGAACCTGTAACACATGCCTTGTGACAGAAATAAAGTTGTCAATATTTTTTGCAATTATGGCAGATAAAACTACTGATATTATGAATAAATCAGTTTTCTCTTGTATATCTCTACATGTATGAAGGGCATGTGTGGAAGTGTTTCTGTGATGTCAGTACAGACAAAACTGCTGCTGCTATTGCTTAACTCACTGTGTCTCATGTTAACAAGTATGGGGAATATGGTAATAAACTTATTGCTCAGACACTTGATGGAGGTGCTATCATGGCATCAGTTTTGAATGGAGAGCAGCAAATTGTCCAAAATTCATTTCCAGATGCTGTATTTGTACATTGTTATGCACATGCTCTGAACTTAGTGTTTTCACAAAATTTTCAGTAACATAAAGTATCATATTTTTTCATAACACTGAATGGCTTAGTAACACTTTTTTCCAAATCACCAAATGAACCAAGTTTCTATATGAATTTTTATACTAGCATTTGCTTAAAGTTGTTGTCACTTAATGGAATTACTCATCTAGACTTGTAAACATTGTGTATTAGAATAAGGATGAACTTCAGCAAGTTTTCTATATGATGTTAGATCATCCTTTTGAAATATTAAGTCATGTTAGCACCAGTTCAAGGGCATTTATTGAACTTGGAGAGTTTAACTTTGAATTTCTCTAAGCTGTACTTAAAAGGAATTTTAGTTACACTGATATACTCTTTTCAATACTATAAAAAATTTCTGAAACACTTTAAGTAATTCATTCTTTGAGAGGCTGTTTTGAAGAGATATACAATGAAACGATTTCTGATGTTGGCATACCATCAAAAATATTAAGAGCTACTAACTAACCCAAATCAAGATCCAAAGTCAAAGTAAAGTATACTTTAATATAAAATATTGGATAACGTAGAACAGCAAAGGACTAACAGACTTCAGAATTATGATAAACTGAAGTTCCTGAACTACGGTTTGTGTTTTAGTGGAACGCTCCTGAAGAAGCTGTAAGGTAAAACACTGAGTGTCCAATTAAAAAACAATAACACATTTGGTGTTTTAAGTTCATTTATTTCCAGTTTTAAAATCCTCATTATGTACTTTGTTGTTGTTGATGTTATAAATTATTACTAAGAGTTACCATTCCTAAATTAATTTTAATGGACAAATTTATTGAACAGATATTTGTACTTACCAGATGTACCATCTAACCCAGAGCCAGGCTGTTGCAACTCTTCTTGGAACCCAGTTTCCGTTTTCATACTCTTTACAAAATCTTTTGAAATATCCACATCATCATCACCACTATCATTGAATTTGGAAACTATCTCATCTTGGTGTAAGTCACTAGGCTGTTCATGTTTCACTCTGGCAAATGTGTTCTGAAAAAGAAAGGGCATATTTAATGTACAATTAACAAACATCCTCTTCGAGAAAATTAATTCAATATGATTAAATATCTGTGCTTCAGCTTTCTCAGGGTCTAAATTTCAGTTTCCAATCTTTTATATGAACTGACTATAACTTTGGCCATTTTTTTCAGAGGTTTCTGTTGGGTTATGAGAAAATGAGCTGTCTGTAAGGCTATAGTTATGTTCTATTTGAGGCATGATGGTGGGTAAAATAACATATGTGGCCTAGCCAACTAATGAATGAATATTTGCTATAAAATTCTTATCAATGCTATAAGTGTAGCTACCAGTTTGGCCACCAATTTTGATTTCTTTCCTTTAAGTTGCATGCTCAATCCTTTTTTGGCTGCACCTTTTATTCACACCTTAGGAGCTTTTGATTAGATATCATGACTTTTTGTCAATACACACCAACAAACCACAACAAGTAAGAAAAAGTGACACTCGATAGTAACCAACATTAGCTTTAGGATTGCAACCCTATTACTTGGAACAGACCTATACTTTACAGAACCAACCAGAATCTTTATAAAATACATTGCAGTAGTTTTTCCTCTCTAAAACAGTTAATAAATTTCTTCAAAAGTAACACCATGAAAACTAGATTAATAGTTTGTCATCACCTGCATGCACTCAGTACAGCCGTATCAAGCATCATTATTTATGCTTATATCTGTGATGCTTAATGCTCTTTAATTAGGAAAACTTAGGAAATTTGTGCTTAAAAGTTGACAATGAATAATAACTAATAATCGTCCACCTGTATTAACCTTATAAAAACTTGATCTAGAAACTGATAAATTAGTTTACTTGAGCTAATCCATATTTATGTATCTGCACATGCTTTCAACTCTATAGTTTTGCTGCTGTAAATCACCTGTCTTTAATCTGAATGACATAAAACTAAAAACGGTCCACTTTTACTCTTAGGTGAAGTTGTAGTAAAAATTTCAGACCAATAGCTCAAGTGACTTTTTGCATAGGCATGTGCAAATATTTTAGTCAAAACTGAGTGGTTTTTGTTGAATAACTTTGCACATGTGGCTTATATTTAGACTATATTTGACACCTAATTGCAGGTTGTAAAGATCTATCATATTTAAAAAAATCTATAAAAGTGGCGTATGTTTTTCTGTCACTATAAATTTTCTCGTTGAAGAAAAAAATAGGGAAAAAATTCAATCAAAATTGGAGATTTTATATCTTGTGTATTTCTTAATGAATTGCCTTAAAATTTGGTATGTGAAATAAGGGTCCAGTAGAGCACATCCACTAAAAATATATGATAGTTTGGATTACCACAGTCTGAGCTACAGAAAATGGAAAATTGCTAAACTGTCACTCCTGTTAATAAAACACAGTGTGTCTTACAGGTTGTTTTGGCCGCATGACAACTCTGTTGTGTGTGTGTGTGTGTGTGTGTTGATATTTTTCTACCTTAAGAGATAGGCTTCATATAGGAAAATTAATTATAAAAATGTTTAAAATGGTAAAAATTATTATATTTTAAAATCAACTCTTTCCAACACATTTTTTCTACATGTAATCTGGTTACTGTTAGCAGTTCCAAGAAAAACCAGCAAAGAGTACAGCAGGGGTTTCCAAACTTTGCCAACTGGTAGACCACCTCCCTTTAAAAACAGTTTTTATCATGTGTAACTGGTGTATTATATGCATATTTTACTGCCTTTACAGCTTGATTCTAGTTTTAAGAAAAGAGATTTAAATATGGAAAATTAAAAAAGAAATCTTACGATTTACTTTAATGTGAAGGATGATACTGCTTTGCTGAAACAATCTTGCGAATTTCTCGGTCAATGTCCGACAGTTTCAAACGAAGATCCAGCTTCACATTTATATTACTTCTATACCTCGATTTTATATATGGAACTTCAGAGAAACTTTTCATTTTATTTTATTCCTTACTCTTTCAGTAAATGGTAATTTCATAAATTTGATGCATTACTGCAGACCCCCTTAAGTATTATCGTGGACCCCCAGGGGGCCACAGACCACAATTTGGGAACCTCTGGAGTACAATATATTTAAGCACAGTAGGTAATCAGCCATTTCTAAACAGAGAAGCTTTTTGAAAAAGATTGTTTACACCAACATATATTTAAGATAATTGTCACTGTAGAGTTGGTAATGAAAAACGTAATACATTATAATGTTTAAACTTTTCATTACTTGCATAGTCTCCAACTTCCATTTGTAAGCAATTTCTTATCAAGTCCCCTTATATAAACAAAATGAAAAACTTGAAAGTAATATTTCTTACAAGGCTTCATTATATAAAGAAAATATATGAAAAGCTCTAAGCAATATTTCTTGTAAAGCTTCATTATAGAAGCAAAATATAGGACAAGCTCAAAAAAAGTTCTTATACAGTCCCATTATGTGAATAAAATATGAGATGCTTTAAGCAGTTTCTTATAAAGTCTCATTTTATAAATAAAATACTTGAAAAGTTCTAAGCAATATTTCTTGTAAAGCTTCATCATATAAACAAATATATGAGAAGCCTAAAGCAATTTCTTATTCAACCCGTTATGTGAAATGCTGTAAGGAATGTTTCTCTGCAAGTAGAAAAAATGCACTTATTTCTGAGTAATTTGACAATGTTGATTCTAAAAATCATGTTGGAAATTACTGATCATCTCTAGTTTTTGAGTTATAATGAATTTATTTAATATATATATATCAAGATTATATACTGAAAATACATTCAGGCTATGTTCATGGTATTATTTTTTATTACAAAATATCTGCTTGACTTGTTGCATATTTTATGTGTGTTTTCAGTTTCATGCTGTAAGAACCAACAGTAATCTCTCATCAATGCAAGACGCCATTGTTCTTGATATCACTGTTCTTAGTGGAAGCACTCATCATGCTCATCACTCACTGCACCTGGATTATCTGGAAAGAATTCTAAATGGGAGTGTAAGAAGCATCTTTAGTAACATCCTAGACCCCATTTTCCAGTAGTACTTGACCATATTATCAATCATCATGGCATAGTTTTCCTCTCTGTGGTTTCCTAAGAAATTTTTGACAACCAGCTTGAATGATTTCCAGGCAGCAAGTTCTTTCTGATTGAGTACTGTTTCAAAATGATCATCCATCAGCACTTCCCAAATCTGTGGCCCAAGAAAAGTAATCCAAAAGTGATGCAATTCACTTCAACTATATCAAGAATAAATAGCATATGCAGACAATATATTTGGAATTTTACACCAATACAATACAGTCAATGTTTGAAGTTATCAAAAATGTATGCCTTTTACCCATTAAACTGTCCGAGTAAACTTAATTTCACAGGATAAATCTACTGTGCTGAGTTGATTGCATAGTATTTCATATAGTGCTGATAAAATATTGAAATATTACAATAACTTAAAATCTAAAGGTGATTGACAGATTTTGACTACATTTTTGAAGTCAGCACCATCAAATTACCCTGACTCACTTGAGTTTTCTCCAGTACCAAATGCTTTGTTGTCCAGTGTTACATAAACAAAGTATATAAAAAGTTCTGAGCAATACCTAATAAAGCCCCATTATATGAACAAAATATGAGAAGCTTCAAGCAATATTTCTTACAAAGCCTTGTGATATAAACAAAATGTGAAAAGCTTTAAGCAACATTTCTTGAAAAGCCTCATTATTTATATACAAAATATACGAAAAGCTCCAAGCAATATTGTTTTATGCTGACTTTAGGTTTAATAAGTACATTTTCCCTTTTTATTTTTATAGCACATCCTTATGAAAAAATAAACCAATATAAACTAGATATCCTAGAGTTTTAGAGGAACTTAAAGATTATATTTGAGAACCACTAGCTAACATTTAATAGTTTTAATTGTCTTACATCAGTGATTGGAAAGATTTTAGTGTGTGTGATTAAAGATGCATTGCAATTTGATGTAGTGATGCATTGCAAAGCAGTTTGATGTAGTGTCAAAGAGCCAGCATGGTTTCACTAAGGGAAAGTCTTGTTTAACAAATCTTCTGAGATTCTTTGAGGATGTTACTACAAGAGTTGATGAAGGAAATACTGTGGATTTGGTTTACCTTGATTTTTAGAAAGCATTTGATAAGGTGCCTCACAAAAGATGTGTTACAAAAATTAAATCTGTGGGTGTGGGGGAAATGTTACTAAATTTGATAGAAAATTGGCTGGGGAGTAGAAAGCAGAGAGTAATAATAAATGTAGTTAGATGTGACTAGATCATAGTTACAAGTGATGTGCCTCAGGGTTCTGGGCTGGGTCCTCCACTGTTTGTGATTTATATTAATGATATTGACTCTAGAATGACTAACAAAACAGATGACATTAAGATTTTTGGGATGGCTAACTGTATCAAAGATACTGAAGACTAACAGTGGGATTTAGATCATTTGAGGCATTGGGCCGAATTTGTGGCAGATGATGTTTACCTATCCAAAGTTATAATTTTCCTAAACTGAAAATGTATTTCTGATAGGCACTTACCTCCTCTTTCAGTGCTGCTCTCTATATGCAAAAACGTTTTTGAGCACACCATAAGCCTTGAAATTTCCACCTGTTTGGAATTGACTAATTCCAATGTGTTTCACATACAAATTATCATGCGACAACCCTCCACCAATAAGAGCACGATACACTCTCTTGATGCATGTGACTCCCTCTATTCAATTATACCAAACTATTACTTCGTGTGTTGGCAGAAAATGGAAGCACCAGTTTTCAGTGGGGAGGAAGAGTGGGAAGCATGAATGGAGGTAAGTACCTATAGGGCGTGACATCCAAAACCCATGCCACCGGGAACCGACATCTATTTGGGGGGTAGGATGAGGATCATACTATCAGTAAGCCAACTACAATCCAAAACCCAGGTCACTGGGTACCAACATCAAAAGGGAGGTAAGAAAGAGAATCATACTATCTTCACCTCAACTATGAACAGGGACATGTTGTTGGTTTATAACAGTATTAGAAATTGAATGATCAATTCAGAAACCAAATGAGGAGGAGGAAGCGAGACACCTGCTGATGTGTGAGTCTTGTCCAACCACCAATGCAGATCACTTACAACAGTAGGAGGAAGGGAAATAGGAGCCATCAAAAGATCCAGCACAAGATTCCACTGGTCGTGAAGAGCCCGCATATGTGTATAACCTAAGGGTATATAGACTGCCATGCAGCCCACATCATCAAAAGTGACAGAACCTTGTGGGCTGTAAGAGAGGGAGCAGTAACTGAAAGCTCCATTGAATGAAGTCAAAGAGGAGAAGGTAGGACCCGATTGAGGTGGGTGTTGATAAAAAACACGCAAATGGACAAGATATTGGAAAGGCTAAAGGAATGACTTCCCCAATTTGATTAACCAGCCCACCCATGCCACCAACAGGAGCAGCCAATGAATGTGCTGGGCAGACTCCATTTTGGAACGAGCTAACAGTAGCAACAGAAGCGCAACCCGATAGCATGTAACTTAAGGGCAAAGTGCAAAACTGATAAACCACCCCGTGATGAACAAACCAAGGATAGGGTCACAACTGACGAGATATCTTGATATACAAGTAGGCATTCGCAATGTCCATCTTGGTCATCCTTAAACCCGTAGAAAAGAACCACCTGAGGGTGAGAAAAGACTCTATGGTAAAATGGGGCAGAATCAGAAATTGATTGAGGTGGAATAAGAGCCTGGAATAAAATCCTGGAGAAAGATGATGGACAGGTTCTATGGCCTGTTGGGACAGAAGGTCTTGTACCACCTTGGGCAGATGCTGACTGGTAAAGTAGGAGTCTGAGGCATAGGGTAGGAAACTGGTTATCTGAGACAATGGAGGGGGAGGACAGAAATTGTAGGACAATTCCCTTGGATAAAACCCGAATAACCCACGAATCTGTGATAAAAAGTCGCCAAAGGGGAACAAATTTGGACAAGCGAGTTCCCATTGGACTGGAACCCACCAAATAGTCACCAGTACTGTTGGCAATGTGCCCATCAATGTTGATTAAAACAACGTAATGAGGAATCCCTGGAAGGAGGAACAGGTACAGGGTGAGAAGGACTAGGATAGAAAACAGGAATAGGTGCTTGTCTCGGTTCCAACTGCGACAAACGTATCACCAAAGAAGACATGGTAGAGTGTTGATGCACATACTCAACACGTGATTCCAAAGTCTCAGGTACATCACTGAAAACAGAACACCAAAGAAAGGTGGCCATTTGTAAATCCCAAAGATAAGGGGGTAGTAAACAAAACTTGGATGAGACCGCATCTTGACCTAAGAGATTCCAACAACAGAGAAAACCATGGTGTAATGCAAGAGCCAAAGACGATAAACGAGCCAACATGGAGGTAATAAGAGAGATGCTGTCCCTCAAAAAACTCCTCAAAGATTTTGTGGATCGCCTCGGAAAGGAAATGGATAGTAGACAAATAAGGGTAAGACGAAGGTGGGAAAACAGGACATTGGATAAATATACAGAAAAATCAGGTATACTGACCCCCACATGGATAAAATTGACCCCCTACTGCTGAGAATCAAGAAATGGTCAGCTAAGGCAAACTGAATTATAGCCCACGGAGGGTGAAGCATGCTGGCACCCTCAACCAATTGTGAAGCAAAGTTCTCAGCACGAACCTGAATATCTGGGGGGAGGGGGGACAAATATTGAGATGAAGAGATATCATGCAATAAAGAAGGACAGGGATCATAAGAAATTGGGGAAATGGACAAAACATCACATACCTGAAAATTCATGTCTAAAAATGCCATATTAGGCCTAGCCGACTCCACAGGTGGGGCATAGGAAGATATGGCAAAATCTGGTGGTGGAAAAAGGCTTTCAAAATCATCATTGGCATGAATAGGAGGAAGTGGAGCAAGTTCAGGAGAAGAAGGTTGACCCATAGAACAATCAATCTCTCAGTGGATAATCGCAGATAAATCTATCAACGGGTCTCCCCCCACCTGCAGCTTGTGAAATAGTGCTAGTAGGAGGTATGATACTCGAAGTGGTAACATTAACCCCAGAATTAATTGTTGAAATATAAATCAAACAAATGTGTTTGACATAAAAAAAGTCAAGAGTGAGAGAAACAAAAACTGGGAAATTAAGTTAACTAAAAAATTCTTCCACAAAGTATAGAAAAAACAATTAATGACGAAAGTCCACATCAGAAATAAATAAAATTCATGATTGCAAATCATATGAAGGGCACCAAAAACAAAAAAATGTCTTGACACGAGTACTGCCAAACAAAAAGTTCAGTAGAATTTAATAGAGGGAGTAACAGGAATCAAGAGAGTGTCTTGCACTCTTATTGGTGGAGGGTTGTCGCATGATAATTTGCATGTGAGATGCATTGGAATTAGTCAATTCCAAGTGGGTGGGAGTTTCAAGGCTTGTGGCATACACACAAAAATTATTTGCATATAGAGGGCAGTACCATATCAAAAATGTAAGGTGATGCATGTAGGTTTTCACAATTCAAATTACTGTTACAATTTAAATGAGAATACATTAAATACTCTGGTTGAAGAAGAAGATCTTGATGTTGTGTTCAAAAAATCACTTAAGTTATCTAAACAGTGTTTTGTAGCTGGCAATAGGGCTAATAGGATTTTGGGTAGCATCTATAGAAATATTGAATACAAAACCAGGGATATTATTGTTTCACTGTATAGATCACTTTTAAGGTCTCATTTAGAGTACTGGGTATAGTTCTGGACTCCCTTCCTCAAGAAGGACATTGAATTGTTGGAGAAGGTTCAGAGAAGAGCTACTACAATGATAACTGGAATGGTGGGATTATCCTATGAGGAGAGACTAAAATCTCTAAGCTTGGTTTCTCTGGATAGGAGAAGAGTCAAAGGGAATTTGACTGAGATGTTTAAGATTATTAAGGGTATTGATAATATAGATCCATCAAACTTTTTTGTGTTTAGCAGTGAAAACAATAGGACAAGGAGGTCATAAATTTAAATTTTGGCAGCATAGGAGTCGTCTGCAGTTTAGATAGTTTTACTTTTCAAACAGGATGGTTGGCTTTTGGAATGAGTTGCCTTCAAGGGTGGTGGAGGCAGAAAATTTAGCTGAGTTCAAGAAAATATTGGATGAATACATGAGTAGTAAGGGATGGTATAGTTGGGAGCTGGAAGGGACATCCTTAATGGGCTAATAAGCTCTTTTTTGTCCCTTTAAATTTTTATGAATTAGATAAGAATTCCTGTCCAGTAACCAAGAAATTATCATACATATACAGTGAATTCAATTTAAAGATTGACTTGAAACAGACTTTATCATTTTCACAGCTGAAGTGAGTTTTGTATTTTCATTACTAATTGGTAACCAAACACTTTCAGTGTTAAGTGTTAATATATAATAATGTATCAATTGTAACAGGTTTAATTCTGAACTCTGTATTCTTCATATCTTACTACGACTAACAACATTTCAAAATTGAATAGACTCTAGGAAACAACTACCATAGTCTTTAACAAGAAATTTATAAAAGGTTTTAATCTATAAATTACCTCAGTCTTTTCAATTTCTTTATTACAATCCTCTTCCGGTTCATCTTTTACTATAACAAACTCAAACACAGTACTTAAAGATGTATCTTCTATGGAAGGAACTTCACTTGTTGTTAAAGGTATACACAATACATTTTTTTCCCCTGGAACAATAACCAGAATAAAATTTATGTACCACTACATCATAAATTATACAAAGGCTGGCAAGGAGAACCATACCTTCTCAGCATATGAAAAATTGCAAGTCACATGTAGAGTTGGCTGATTAGTGAAATTTGATAATTACTTGCTGGCCACATTAATAGATTACATTCAATTAATGGATTATTCTCATAAGACTTGGTTAGTTGAAATAATCAGAAATAATACTTTCAATCAATTGATTATTTTCACGAGTCATGACACAAATCAATTTAGTTGCTCAAACTTGAATTAATCGGAAATAATGATGAAAAATCATAATAGCAATATTTCTATTACTTGGAATAATCAGAAACGTTAATTATGGTTAAGAGAAAACAAAAATGAAAAATCATAATGGCAATATTTCTATTACTTGGATAAGTGGACTAATGGTATTAATAATCCCAAACACTAATTTTGATTCATTGATTAATTTCTTTACATTAATTGATTTGATTGTAATTTCAATCAATCAATTACTTTACATAACAGTTATTAATGCAGTCGATGCTCATAACCAATCAATATATCGATTAATCAAGTTATTCATCCAGTTCTTTCCCTGTCTGAAAATGTATTTTAGACGAATACTCACTTCTAAAGACTAGGCAGCTATCACCTCATGCCAATGCCAAAATGCTTTCAGGCATGGACCAAACCTTTGAACAAAACTCTAACTCCTACATGTAATAATATGTACTATACCAATCTATGATGCAATAATGTTAGAGGGCCACACATACTCCATGCACAGTACTACCCTAACCACTTTGTATTTACCAAAAGCTAATTGTTCATGAAGTAAGACACACACACACTGGAAGTGAGAAGAAAGGATTGATGGTTCTGTGTGAAGAGATGAATATCTATACAAAATACATTTTCAGAAGAGACAGCTAGAATCCACACTACAAAGATGGTGAATGGACTAGTGCAGATAAGGAAACCAAAAAGATGAGCTCCTTTCTTAGAATATAGTGATAGAAAGAGAAAACTCATAGAGTGTGTCACCCAATGTGTGTGTGTGGGGGGGGGGATCTCTTGGTGAAAGATGCCCAATAGAGAATGTAGAATAAAGGATACTGTCAAAAGAATTTCATGCATAGTACTGAAGTGTTACAAAGGTGAGAAGAATCTAAAAACTGTTTAACCAGACTATATATTTTAGGAGGTCAGCAGAGAAGGTATGTATAGTGTGGCTAGGGCTACAAGTGAAGTCATACAGTTCATAAGAAATATTAGCATGAAAAATTTCTCAGAATAATCACAAGCAGACACACATCCTAAAGAGAATGCAAGATCTATGCAGTTGGTCTAATCACCAAGAACAAACAGGTTTTTATTGTAGTTCTAGGTAAACACCACAGCCTTACTTCTGATCGAGGAGGAGTTCACTCGGTGTCATACTAGTGAGACTACACCAACCCAAAGGTTTACAATGGCAAATGCATGAGTTTGAACAGCAACAACTAGGGCAAACAGTACAGTGACAAAAGAGGTGCTTTGACTGGACAGTGAAAGATTGGACATTCCATTGAGGTGACTGGGTATGGTTGGGATGCGTGCCACCAACATAGAACCAACTTGTATCTAACTGGATTTGTCTGTACTTAGTAATCTGACAATTGGTCTTCTAACATATGAAATACAGTAGATGCGAGGCATGTGAAGTATGTTGATAACCTGTATCCCCATTCCACAGAAAGCCCTTAGTACCTTGACTTAACTAGGTGTCTTGGGAAGAGAGCAATGAGTCAGAGGAAGAAGAGGATGCCTCCTGAACCTAGATGACCCACATAACAAGAAAAAGGGGTGGGTGACACATATCTGGCTGTTAATGATAAGTCAGACGAGTTGCACACACTTTACTTGCTTTCAAATAATATATATATTTGGAACAAGTTAAACGTATGTACAATAAAGTATTCACACTATAGAGAATATAAGCATATCGTTAATGTTATATCAGTATATGTATAGTTTTCTTCTTGTCAAAAGTCCACTTAGGCCTGTTCAATTACTTTAGAATCTCAGTTGACAAGCCAAACTATTTTTTCTAATACTATCGCAATATTAGTCTGGTGTGATTCACTTATGATTGTGGTCTTCTTTCTTCTGAAGATCCTATGTTCCTTTTGTCAAAGGGCACTTAGGCTGATTCAATTACTTTAGAATTTAGCTTTGACAGAATAAACTTATTTTTTCTTATTTCCTTTTCCACTGTTAGTTTCACTCTAACATATATATTAAACATTAGGCCCATCACTTTTACGTTACTTCACTTCACACCAACTATATTCTCATTGCTTTTATCTATCTAATACTGTCTGTCTGCTGCTTACCGCTAGTCTCACACTATTTATATTTTTTTTGCATAGTCATCTGGCTACTTTCTATATTATCGACACCAATTAGTTATTAACAAAGCCTTCTACCATTTTATATTTTCTCACCTTCTATAAACTATTCTTTATGAGCGTGAACAATGCACAATTAATAACCAAATTAACTCTCTTAAAAAATCATAAGATAAAAGTCCAGTCCAAATTATATTTTTATCTTTAAAAAAAGATAGATTCACATGATATGTACACACATAAAAACCATTACAACTTAAGATATTTTAAAAAAATGTGAATGTTACAATCAAACACATATATTTTAAAGCACCTTTGCCATTGTATATGTTTAAGAGGACTGCTTTAAAAATACAATTTATGGCATTAGTTACAGTAATAAATGCTTACACCTGTTTGTACACATACAGTGTTCTACAGGTTTGCTATACTATGATGTGAAAAGTATTGATGGAACACTAAATTTAGTAAGAAAATAGCCTTTTAGATATTCTTTTTAAATGATGTACCTGCTTGTTTCACAGTTTACTATCCTAGAAGAGAAACACAAGATGTGTACTCACTGCTAGATGTACAATTATATTAAAGGGTTCAATATTCAGCAAAATGGAACTATTCTAAGCACAACTTGACCAGCTCAAGAATGTAATATTAACATTATTGTTAGAACTAAAAACTGTTTATTTTTATCTCAAGTTACATCTGCTGTTCACAAAAATAAGTTAAATTCCATTATATGTGCAAAAAGATGTGTCAGTGTAATTTAACATTTTTCCCTAGATTAAACATCAAGCATGAGAATTTATACTGATATCATCTGTGGATCACAAAGTAAAGGAATATTCTGTATTTAATATGAAACTTCTAACCACTGATGGAAATTTCTGTTATGTACCTATAGTAGAAAGGGAAACATCTGTGCAATGTTGAGAAAAATATTCTAGTAAGAACATAACAGATTAAGTTATTACAATTTGTACTTACTAATAGGTGATAGTATTAAAGTTTCTACTTTTTTCACCTTCTTGATATCCAACGAAACATTCTGCTCCTCATCAGAAAAGGGTTCAACTTTCATCTTAAATACTTCCATCCTTTATGTGCTTATCTGAAGATTACAGTTTAATTACCAAAATACAAAATTAGAATGTTGAATCCTTCTAAAAGGCTATTACCACCAAAATTTAAAACAAACAAAATCTGAAGATTTAAATTACCAGAACAAGTTTTACACAAATACATTTGGTCCCTCAAGGCTAACTCTCTGGTTCATATGGATCCAACCAGTAATTCTAGTGTATAGATTGTAAGTTTCCAGTTCTGGTGTGTTGTTATTTCTAGACAAATGTACACCGCAAATTCAAAACTAAAAAGCAGCATCTCACTGAAGAAAAATAATTCCATATTGAAAAAATAATCATATCTGAATTTTCTTTTATTTCGTCCCCAAACACATTCAGTATGAAGCATAGCTTTGAAACAATGTAGGTAATTCAATGACCAAGGAATACTACAATAAGACTCTTGTCCGGCTTAGAAGTGTGTTATTGCATTATACTTGATCTTTTCCTTGTCCTGTATGGATGTGTCCCCATCACCAGTCAGATGTAATTCAGCATAATATAAGCCAAATACTTAAAGAAAACATTACTTTTAATAAATATAGTTTAACTTGTTTAATTGGTTGTTATGCTGCTCTCTACAAGATATTTCCAGAACCTGAAATACCAAAGTAGTGTTTTGTTCTTTAACTGACATTTCTAGAATTTACTATACGCTTAGTGTGTAAATAAAAGCACTACTATGTAGCATTTTGGAGCTGAAATTGTTTAACTTATAAGACATCAATGAGCCATTTGACCATTCAAAATCTTCAATTCACTATCTTTTTCATACAGCCCTCAGATTTCAAGACAAAATATCTCCTGTATAAATCTTATCACTCCCCTTAATGATTTTAATAGTTCAATTAAAGTGCTCTCAACTCTTGTGATTAACATAACTTCTCTGTTAATAAAACTTGTGACAACACTATTTTCTTAATATAATAATTTTTCATACTGCATCTAAATGCAAGATTACAATTTTATATAAACAGCTACCAATATTGTATCTTAAAAAATATTTCCCATTGTCATTCATACAAATACTTTTTTTTCTAGTTGATGTGTAAAATGAATATAACATTGTATTACACTTTGTCCATATATGTATAAAGTGTTAAAGCATGACTTGGCTGCTGAACTATATAAATGGCACACACACATGTCCAAGTTAAATACTCATCACTTAATTACACATTAGCTTTCCTTCTCTTTGTAAAAATTTGGGAAATGAAGATGAAGGAAAAATCATAGAGAACAAACTGTTTTATATGCCAAAGCACATGACACACTGTTGGCATCAAAGGTACAACACTAATGACTCCTGAATGTCTGACCACTCCTGAGATGGCTGACAAACTAATCAGTAATATAATTATCAGATGCAATGTGAATTTCTCTGCTGTAAGTGAATAGACACTCTTGTATCAGAAAGACGTAGAAACACACCTTGCAATAGCTGGGTACTCAGGATGCACAAAACCTAATGTCACAGAAGACAAACTCAGAGGAAAATATTTATAATTTAAGACATGTTTTGTACTTTATTTACCATTAAGTTTTTTAAATCTTCTCTTAAATTAAAATTACAAATTAGTGCAAACTCATGTCATGGAGCTGATAAAACTAAGATATAGCAGATTCACCAACACGTACAAGAGAAAGCCCTTTATCGGGTTAGCAACCAAATTATACTTACTGTCTCTTAGGTTTACATTAACCATCTATATTGATGCTGGGCAGAGCAATATTCTATTTCTTCTAAAAGGACTTCAATCAAATTTTTAACGTACATTATATGCAAGAGATTATTGCTAAGATTTAAGTGATTTTTGCACTAATTATTAAAATGTCAATAATAATAATTACCTATACTAATGATCACATGTTATTACAGTACATGCCCTCAATAAATAGTAAATACTAACTATTACTGTATTAACTTGGAAAAGTTGAATTCAACTGAACTTCAAACAGAAATATATTCCAGTTAATGAACATGTAAATAAGATTAAAGAACAACAAAAGACCTTTTAGTCCAACTAGACCATCCTATCACTAAATTAAACTAAACATCAAAAAACTCAATGCCAGCCCTTGTCATTCAAATAGTTATCAAGTTTTAAATTAAACTACCTTAACTGTTTCAGCACAGGCTCAGTCCCTGCAACCGACCTCGTAACGATTTTGTGCTTGTTATAGTTTTCATACTATATCTTTTAAATTAGTATACAAATGTTGACAAAAGTTAGAAGATTGTCAGTAAACATTACGATGCTTTCATACGCAAAATATCAAATCTGTTATTAAGTCTTAAAGCAATGTTTTTCTCATGTCTTTTTTTCTTTTCACATGTTGCCTATCTATTATGCAAAGTAATATTCATTTAAAGATTAAAAATGCTTTTATGCATCAGAAAATATTGAAATTTCACATGCTAAATATTTATAATGTCCAGATAGTTATCAAACATTTCTTAAGAAAAACTATATATTTTATCTGTTATTTTCACTAATTAATCTCTGTAGGAATTTGGTAGATTTGGCCAATCTTACAACCACCATACAAAATTAGAAAATATAAATAAATTATACCTCTAGAATGAACAAAAACACATAAATGTTTAGACTAAATAGCTTAAATCTCATAACATTATACATTTATATATATTTTATTATTTTTATTATATTAACCTTTCAGTCATGCTTGGCTAACAATTGAGAAGTTACAATGACGTGGCTCACGTGCACTCGAGTTACCATATCAAATAACATAAAACTGACCTCTGGTCTGTGCAAAGTAACTTTTCTTGGCTGTGTTTTAGTAGACTAGTATTTTGTAAAATGTGGTCAAATTTCAATTATACATAATATATGTATATAGATTATTGCTATTTTGAAATCTCCTCTTAAACTTATTTTTCTTAAAACATAGAACAGTAAATAAAGTAAAGCAAACAATTATCTCTTCTTCACAAACATCTAATTTGAACCAGTGCTGCATTCAACATATCATGTGACACATGAAAAGCGATGTTTATCTGTGCTTTTTTTAATATTTGCTTTTATATTAAGAAATTGAGTAATATATAGTAGTAAAATTTGAATTATAATCTACAGTTTGATACCAAACTTATTGACATAAATTCATAAAATAGTAGTTCAATAAAATTTTGAATGTGAGCCAACAAACAAGATTATATGGCCTTTCACCTGTGACCCATTTCGAAAGGGTTGAAGGAACTGCATCTACCACATCTGAAGGCAACCCATTCCAAAAACTAAAAACCTTGTTAGAATAATAAAATTGTCTCAGCGTAAGTTCACAAATCCTACTTTGCCAAAATTTGTGTTCCCTCATCATACCATTTTCACTATTAAATATAAAAAAAAGAATGATACATCACCACTATCAATTCCTTTAACAATCTTAAATACCTCAATCATATACCCTCTAACTCCTTTTTCAAAGAAAACAAGTTCAGAGATCTTAACCTATCCTTGTAGGACAACCTTTCCATCCCAGGTACTATCCTAGAAGCCATCCACTGAACCTTTCACAACAATTCAATGCCCTTTCTGAAGTAAAGAACCCAAGACTGGACATACCAGTGACCTATAAAATAACAATACAACCTCTTTAGACTTGTATTCAATATTTCTGTAGATACAACCTAAAATCCTATTTGACCTACCACTAGCAACAATACATTGCTTGAATGGCTCAACAGACTTGGTCACCTAGAATACCAAGATCTTTTTCTTCTATAATACTGTTAATGTTATTCTCGTCAAAATTATACTCAAATTATGATATCCTTCATGCATTACCTTGCACTTATTATAATTAAAAGCCATCTGTCATTTATTTGCCCAACTCTCCAAATAATCTAAATCCTTTAAGAGAGCAATAGCATCCTCCTCACAGCCAGCATCACTCAAAACTTTAATTATCAGCAAATTAAATACTCTATTGGCCATTCCTTCATCTGCATCGTTGATATAAATCAAAATGAGTACAGCTCCTAATATTTAGTCCTGAGGTACCCAACTTGTGACATTAATTCAGTTTAATTGAACTCCATTTATAACCACACTCTGCTTTCTCCTATCTAGTCAGATTTCTATCCAATAAGACAATCTATCCTCAACATCTAAAGAGATAAATTTTTTAAAGTTTTTTGATGTGGCACCTTTTCAAATGTATTTTAAAAATCCAGATACACAAATCTGCACCTGAGCCCTCATCTGCATAAGCAGTAACCTTTCTTATCACCTCCCCTGAAAAGAAGAGTAACATTATCCAACTTCCAATCTTCTGGCACCTGCCCCTATTCAAAGACTAAGAAAAATAATAGTAAATGGTTCACATACACAATCCTTAACATCTTTATTTACTATCAAATCCCATGAGTAAATTTTATCTGGCCCAACATTCATAAAGCAGTTTTCCATATGATTTCTTCTAAAAATGAAAAACAGAAAAAATGGAGATATAAATTTCAGATTAACAAAGAAAACAATTAACAAAAATTCCATATTCATCTAAAAACTCAGACATATGCGTCAACATAGTCAAATAATTGCAACAGATAGGAATAACATACCATAATGTTTTGGAACATGGGACCTATTGGTTCATCTTGGCTGTTTTATCTTTTAAACTAAACTAAAGTTAATTTCAAAAAAAAAAAACAACTTAAAGTCAATCCCTATCATTCATAAACTTATCAAGCTTTCTCTTAAACTCACTTAAATTTACTGCCTCCAAAATATCCAAAGGTAACCCATTCCAAAGGCCAGTCGCCCTGTTACAAAAATAAAACTGTCTTAGGTGAAGATGACTCCTACCTTGCCAAAATTTATACTTGTGTCCCGTAGTACTACTGTTCTCACCATTAAGTATGAAGATAGATGATGCGTCAATTCCCTTTACAGTCTAAAACACCTCAATCAGATACCCTATAACCTATCTTTGTATGACAACTCATCCATCCCAGGGACCATTCTAGTAAACCTCCTCAGAACTTTTTTAAATAATTCAATGTCCTTCTCAAGAATGAACAAAATACTCCACATATGGCCTAACCAGTGACCTATACAATGAAGTTATAATCTCTTTAGACTTGTATTCAATATTTGTAGACACAACCTAAAATCCTATTTACCTTACCACTAGCAACAGCACAGTACTTGGATGTCTAAAGAGACTGATCAACATTACACTAAAATCCCTTTCTTTCATCACACTGTTAAGGTTAATCCTATCTAAATTATACTTATAATTCAAATTATGATAACCCACATGCATTATCTTGCATTTATTATAATCAAAACCTGCCATTTATTTGCCCAACTCACTAAATGATCTAAATCCTTTTGTAAAGCAGCAGCATCTTCGTCACAAGTAGCAACACCCAAGACCTTAATATCATTTGCACATTTAAGTAATGTATTGACCATTCCTTAATCTATATCACTGATGTAAATCAAAAAGAGCAAAGGTCCTAAAACTGAGCCCTGAGGTAATCCACTTGTGACATTAATCCAGTTTGACTGAACTCCATTTGTAACAACCCTCTGCTTTTTTCCATCCAGCTATTCTTCTATCCAATTTGCTAACTTATCTCCTACACCTGTAGAGATACTTTTTTTTAGAAGACTTTTATGTGGCATTTTTTCAAATGCTTTCTGAAAATCCAGATACACGAAACCTACACCCTTACCCTCATCTACATAAGCCGTAACCTTTTCAAGTAATGTCAAATGACTTTACAAAGCATCTTTTATCAGACTTTCCAAAATTTTATCACCTTCCTTGAAAAGAGGAGTTACATTAGCTAACTTCCAATCCTTCCAATCCCACTATTCAAGGACTGACAAAAAACAGTAGCAAGTGGCTAACATATCCAATCTTTAACCTCCTTTAAAACACTTGGGGAAATATTATCTGGCCCAGGAGCTTTATTGTTCTTTAA